AAGTTTCATTCTCTACTTTTATTTTGTCACATGAGGAATCAAACTGAACTCCTCCCTGTTTAGACAGCAGGTAACATCCATACATTTCAGCTTTTATAACATGTGACTGCATCTAAAGTCAAATCTAGAAGAGCTTTCTAAGATGCTCTACATTCTTTTCGGCCACCACCTTTAAAATAACTTCTCTGAGAGAGAAAGTGACTCGATTTGTGAATTCTATTGTTTAAGATGTTTATTTACTTAAAGATTTGACTGTGTTAACCACAGTTTGGAGGTTCTCTCTGTGCCAGTCTCTCCACCTGATTTTAAAATGGCCACAGGTGTGAATGGACCTAGTTTCTGTGCTGTGATTGGCTCCTGCTGAGCCTGTGGACAGAGACTGAACCATGAAACAGCTGCAGGCAAAGATCAACAATCGTTCCACACGTTTACCTACAGAAACTCTGTTTCAACTGTTATCGGTGGCTCTTGTTGTTTGAAGGCTTCTTTTGTGCTGAATTCATCAGCAGATGAGTTTGGGCTTTTAAGGCAGGCAGGAAGCACACGGCTGTAAAGGAAAGAGTGCTCTCTAATGTGCAAAGCATGGAAAACTAATGAGCCCTGTAGCACAACAGAAAGCAGGAGTCTATCAGTCTATGCCCATTATTGTGTTTTCATAATCAGGAAGTCACAAATGCAAGTGAGACTAAAATTTAGTCGGCAGCTTGTTTGCATCTTCACAGTAACTCAAAGCTTCAGCACCACAGTGGGATATTCTCTCTACAGTGAAAAAGCTTGTAGAGTCCTCCTCAGGTGGCCACGTCAGCAAGGTATGGGTGACATCAGCAGGTGGAGTGGAAAACCCCGCCCACCTTTGCACCCTGGCCGGCCAGTTTGTTGTATTCAGCGACAGCCTTCTCCGTCTGGAAGACTTTTACATCAACGCCTTTCTGCTTCACAAAGTCCAGGGTGGAGGGGGGAACCTGTTAGAGGAGACGATGGTGTGAATACAGTCTGACGAGCAGAGCTCCTTAATCGATCCGCCAGCGCTCCAACCACAGCAACACACAGGAAATCGCCTTTCAGCCTCCAAAGAACTACCATATTAGCCAGATTGTTTGAATGGATGAACCACAAAGTCTGCAGTCTCATTCTTTTGTGATACTTTATCTGATAGGAGCAGCTTGTGCAACATGACTCAGTCATACAGCAGCTGAGCGTGGGATCTGTTTTATTACATCAAAGTAACAGAAAGCAAAAACTCTTTAAAACAAACAGAACAAAGGGGCTAAGACTCCAACCAAACTATAGTTTATATTTTGGGTTTATTATGTTTAAAGGAATAAATTGGTCTGTTTTACCTGCAGAGCCTCGCTCATGCCTCTGCCAATTACCAGCAGGTCGATTCCCTTCTTCAGCACCTCATCTAGGTCAGCAGGTTGTACTCCAGGGTAATGCTGAGGAGCAAAAAGCTCAACATCACAAATTTGCCTCAGAGCTAATTTACAGCAGTCCGTCCTCACTTACGTCAGTCCCAGTCTCTCTCCAGTCCCAGGCTCGGCTCCCTCCAGGCCAGACCTTACAGTCCTTGTAGGTGGAGGAGCATCCCTTCACCTTCATGTGGCCCCAGGAGAGCGAGGCGATCTCTGGAGAGGACATGTTTCTTTGAGGCTACCTGCTGTAAGACAAAATAAGCAGTTAGCACAGCTTCTGAAATAGTGTGACGAGATTTCTACAAGCCATCGAAATACTCTGAAAGGTCTCATTAATGCAAGTTTGCCACAACCAGCAGGAGTGATTTATGTGCCCTTGTAAAATGTTCCCCTGCAGGTCAATAACAAAACTACAACTGACTACTACAAGAACAAGAGGGCCTACGTGAAACGTGCTGCTGATAATTCAGTTACCACTTCAGGTCCAAAGTTCTTTTACTTGCATTCAATCAGGTTTGAGTCATTAGGAGGTTTGAACAGGTGTATAACAACACCGAACAGCAATAACTTGTGTAAATACAACAATTCGATCAATCAGATCAAATTATTACATGTAAGCTGCCCTGTACAAACTGTGTACTTAGCACAGGCAAATTAGATGCTTACTTTAGCACACATAGATTGCACAGGGTTTAACTAACACACACACACACACTCAGTATCGTCAGCAACTAAAATCCTTGTCCTGCCATTTCTGTAAGTCGGGAGCTGACTGGGTCTATTTTTATACTTCTCACTTTTAACTCCAAACCAATATAAACTTGCTGTCAAACTCACTCACTGCATCTATTCAAACCGTACCAGACAAAATATTTACACAAACTACCTGAAATCCTTTTAAAACAGTTAGGCTGTAACAGGAAAACATGAAGCTAAAGTCTGTGCTGCTGCTTACCCGTCTCGATGTCAACTCACTGAACACACCCCTCAAGTCGTTCTTCCTCCCGTAATTAAAGGGACACGGACTAACCTGCGAGCTGTAACAGTCAGGCTATGATTGGTTGTTAATTATCAAGGTGCTGGAGCTGAAACATCAGCCTAAGTAATAAAGCTTTCTGCACAGCTCACACAACCCTGAGTTTACCTTAGACTTGTGTGTTTCATAGGTTTCAGTTCAGTTCAGTCTCTTTAATAAAGTGGAATATTAGCTGAAACATTTTAAATACACAAACAGTCAACAATGTGTCACTTTATGTGGAACTGTCCTCCTGTGTGACCTGTCTACAACCTTTTGAAAACTAGTTTCTTAATTCGCAAAGTTACAGAAGTATTGTGAACGTTAACATGAAAAAAAAGAAAAAGAAAAAAAAGAAAAAGAAAAAGAAAAGCCGCAACTGTGACTTTAATCTTACCCCAAAAATTATGATACCAGAAACTATTATTCATGAATTAAACTAGTGGACTAAGCATGGACTCCTTAAAGGGACTGAAATAAAAACTACGAATACTACACTGATATACTGCGCTGTGCATAAAAACAGCCTACCATAAGCAAAATCCAGTGAACTCACATTTAGGGGATATTTACGGTACGGCGCACCATACAAACACGATCCACTCGAACGCTGTTAATGAACGTAGCTAAATAAGCTTTCATTATTTTTCCACATATTTAGGGGGGTGCACCGTTCCTGGAGATACTGCAATACCAGGTCGATGCGTGGAGTGGACGGAGCAAGCCCCTATTCCATCTCCCTGTTCCAAAAATCAATTTAATATATGGTCCCCGG